GTGATTATAGTCATTCTAATGGGTGTAAGGTGATATCTAAGTGTAGTTTTGATTTGCATTTCCCTGATGATTAGTGATATTGAACATCTTTTCATGTGCCTATTGGCCACCTGTATATCTTCTTTGGAAAAATGTCTGTTCATATCCTCTGCCCGCTTTTTGATCGGGTTGTTTGATTTTTTGTTGCTCAGTTGTGTGAGTTCTTTATATGTTATGGAGATTAACCCTTTGTCAGATATATGATGTGCAAATATTTTCTCTCAGTTAGTGGGTTGTCTTTTTGTTTTGATCAAGCTCTTTAGTCTGATGAAGTCCCTCTTGTTTATTTTATCTTTTATTTCCCTTGTCCAAGTGGACATGGTATTTGAAAAAATCCTTTTAAGACTGATGTCAGAGTGTAATGCCTATATTTTCTTCCAGAAGCTTTATGGTTTCAGGTCTCACCTTAAAGTCCTTGATCCATTTGAGTTTATTTTTTTGTATGGTGAAAGATAATGATCTACTTTCATTCTTTAGTTTGTGGCTGTCCAGTTTTCCCAATACCATTTATTGAAGAGACTTTCCTTTCTCCATTGTTTGTTCTTAGATCCTTTGTCAAAGATTAGCCAACCATAGATGTGTAGTTTTATTTCTGGGCTTTCCATTCTGTTCCTTTAGTCTGTGTGCCTGTTTTTGTACCAGTACCATGCTGTGTTGATTACTGTAGCTTTGTAGTATATTTTGAAGTCAGGGATTGCGATGCCTCCAGCTTTGTTCTTTTTTCTCAGGATTGCTTTAGCTGTTCAGGGTCTTTTGTTTCCTTATATGAATTTTAGGATTCTTTGTTCTATTTCTGTGAAGAATGCCGTTGGGATTCTGACTGGGATTGCATTGAATCTGTAGAGTGCTTTAGGTAGTATGGACATTTTAACCATGTTTATTCTTCCAGTCCATGTGCGTGGAATATTTTTCCATTTCTTTATGTCATCATTGATTTCTTTCAGTAACGTCTTATAGTTTTCATTGTATAGGTCTTTCACCTCCTTGGTTAAATTTATTCCTAGATACTTTATTCTTTTTTGCGATTGTAAGTGGGATTGGATTCTTGAGTTCTCTTTCTGTTGGTTCATTATTAGAGTATAGAAATGTAACTGATTTTTGTAAGTTGATTTTGTACCCTGCAACTTTACTGTAGTTATTGATTATTTCTAACAGTTTTCTGATGGATTCTTTATGGTTTTCTATATATAAAATCAAGTCATCCATCTGCAAACAGCAAGAATTCCACTTCTTCATTTCCTATTTGGATTCCATTTCTTTCTTTCTCTTGCCTGATTGTTCTGGCACAAACCTTCAGTACCATGCAGAATATGAGTGGTGAGGGTAGGCATCCTTGTTTGTTCCTGTTCTCAGAGTAATGGCTTTCTGTTTATCCCCAATTGAGTTTGATGTTGGCTGTGAGTTTGTTATATACGACCTTTATTATGTTGAGGTACTTTCTTTCTATACCTATTTTACTGGGAGTTTTTATCATAAATGGATATTGGATCTTATCAAATGCTTTCTTGGCATCTATTGAAATTATCATGTGGTTTTTATTCCTCATTTTATTAATGTTGTGTATCACATTGATTGATTTGTGGATGTTGAACCATCCCTGTGTCCCTGGTATAACTCCTACTTGATCATGGTGTGTGATCTTTTTAATGTATTGCTGTGTTCAGTTTGCCAATGTTTTGTTGAGAATTTTTGCATCTTTGTTCATCAGCAATATTGGCCTGTAATTTTTCTTCTTTGTGCTGTCCTTGTCTGGTTTTGGTATCAGCGTAATGTTGGCCTCGTTAAATGTGTTAGGAAGTGTTCTATCTTCCTCAATTTTTTAGAATAGTTTGAGAAGGATAGGTAATAGGTCTTCTTTGAATCTTTGGTAGCATTCTCCAGAGAGGCCATCTGGTCCTGGACTTTTGTTTTTTTGGAGATTTTTTATTACTATTTCAATCTCTTTACATGTGATTGGTCTATTCAGATTCTCTATTTCTTCTTGTTTCAATTTTGGGAGGTTGTATGAGTCTAAGTATTTATCCATTTTATTCATTGCATTCTTCAGCTCCAGCATTTGCTTGATTCTTTTTTACCATTTCTATCTCTTTGTTGAACCTCTTATTTTTTCATGTATTGTTTACCTGAGTTCATTGAATTGTATATCTGTGTTCTCTTGAATCTCACTCAGCTTCCTTAAAATAATTATTCTGAAATCTTTTTCAGACAACTTGAAGATCTCCACTTCTTTGGGGTCAGTTACTGGAAAATTATTGTGTTCCTTTGGTGGTGTCATGTTTTCTTGCTTTTTCATGTTTATGATACTCGCACATTTGAGGGTGCCATAATCTCTTCCAGCCTTTTTGCACTGACTTCAGTGGGGAAAGACTTTCACCTGAAGGTGGCTGTGATGGTGCTGGCTGAGAGGGATGCAGCATCTTGGCTCTTTGGAAAGCACAGTGGCACAGTCTCCGTGTAGTTCTGTCAGCTGAGTTTGACATCAGCCAGACTGCAGTGGCCTTCTGTGGTGTAGGCTGCTGAACTTCTGTGGGTGGCAGTGGTGGGTAGGACCATGCTGGCAGGGTCCTGAGATCAGGTGCACAGAGAACTACCACGTCACCTGGGTCCGGGTGCATAAGTGTGCTTTCTGAGGCAGTGGCACTGGTGTCTAAGATGTGGATGTGTGCAGATCTCCCATGGACATGGAATCTAGGTCTCAGGGGCTCCCTGTAGTGACTCTGGTGAGGAGAATGTAGCACCAGCACAGGTCCTAGAATGACAAAGTGCAGCAGTGGCTTGTACCCAGTGAACAGGGTGCAGTAGCAGTGCAGCCTGGAGATGATGGGCCAAAGTCCCAACTCAGGACCCAGGGATAAAAGAAGTCATAGGACAGAAGAAAGATGTCCTCAGTGGTGCTCTATTAAAGCCATGTGTCAGGACCCAAGGGAACAAGGGCTTAGGGTAGCAGCAATGCTGCTGGAAATGATGGTTCAGAGGCATGACCTAGGACAGGAGGTGGTGCTCAGGGCAATGGAAGCTGCCCCAACTTCCATTAATAGTGAGACAAAGCTACAACCTGGGGCCTGGGGTAAGGTGCAGAGCAGTGGCAGCTCTGGTGCTGTATATGATGAGGTGCCATGGCATCCCAAGCCTGGAGAGTGGGGCACAGCGTTGACTGGGGTCCCTGAAGGCAGGGCTAACTGCAGCGACATCTCCAGCCCTGGGGCGTAGATGCAGGGTATGGGAGACCTCCAGGTTTCTCCATCAGCTGGGATCCGCATTGGTGAAGACTGTGGGAGACCTCTGTAACAAAGGATTCAGGTGTCCACAATGATGAGACTGGCTGGAGTTCTCCTGCTCTCCTTTTCCTTGTGGCGTATAATTCCTCCGAGGAATCCTCATGGCACCAAGCTGTTCTGGCCTGGTGGATGGGATGATATGGGTAAAATTCTTCTCATATTTTTCTATGTGGCTAGACTCAGTTTTTGAGCTCCATAGGGTTTTTGTTGCTACTTTGTCATAGTCCATGCATACCCTGAGCTATTTTGTTTGGTTTGTGGTTATATATTTATTGCTTTTGGAGGGAGACAAGTGTTGTGACTTCCTAGCCCTTCATCATGCTGATGTCACCCCTCTCTTTTTCAGTGTCTTAAGGTGCAAGGTTAAATTAATGATTTTTTAAAATCTTACTCCTTTCTTAATATAGATATTTAGAACTATAAATTTCCCTCTAAGCACTGTTTTAACTGCATTCCATAAGTTTTGGTATAGTTTGTCTTCATTTGCATTCATCTCAAAGTATTTTCTGATTTCCCTTTTGATTTATTCTTTGACTATTGGTTATTTAGGGATGTGTTGTTTAATTTCTACATATTTGTTTCCTAATTTTTCCTGCTTGATTTCTAACTTCATCATATTGAAGTCAAAGAACATAGTTTGTAATATTTCTATCCTTTTAAGTGTGTTGAAGTTTGTCTTGTGGTCTACCACGTAGTCTATCCTGTAGAATGTTCTATGTGCACTTGAGAAGAATGCATATTTTGTTGTTGGGCGGAGTGTTCCATAGATGTTGGTTAGTTCTGGTTGGTTTATAGTGTTAGCCAAGTCTTCTATTCCTTTGTTGATTGTTTGCCTAGTTCCATCCATATTAAATGTGGAGTATTAAAGTCTCCAACTATTATTTTTGAATTGTCTATTTCTCCCTTCATTTCTGTCAAATTTTACTTCACATATTTTGACATTCTGTTATTAGGTGCATGTATGTTTATAATTATTACATCATTCTGATAGAGGGATGCTTTCATCATTATAAAATGTTCCTCTTTGTCTCTAGTAAGATGTTTTGTTTTAAAATCTATTTGGTCTATTAGTATAGCCATTTCAGTTTTTCTGTGGTTGTGGCTTGATGATATACCTTTTTTCATCTTTTTATTTTAAATCTGTTTGCATCTTTGGGTATAAAGTATGTCTTCTATAGACAACATACAATTGGATCTTTTTTTGTCCAAATCTGATAATCATCTCAGCCGTTTTTGTTTTTTTTTTGGTGAGGAAGATTTGCCCTGAGCTAACATCTGTTGCCAATGTTCCTCTATTTTGTACGTGGGACACTGCCACAGTGTGACTGGATGAATGATGTATAGGTCTGCACTGAGGGTCTGAACCCACAAACCCCAGGCTGCCAAAGCAGAGCACCCCTCATCTCTGCTTTTTGATTGCTTGTTTAATCCATTCACATTTAATGTTATTTTTTATATAATTGGATATGTATCTGCCATTTTACTTTTTGTTTTCTAAGTTTCATATTTTGCTCCTCTATTGCAACTTTATGACACTTTTACATTGACTGAATATTTTCTAATGTAGCATTTTAATTTCATTAATTATATATATATAGTTGATCTAGGGTTTACTATATACATGTTGACTTAAAAGAATCAGTTTTAGTGTTATACTAGCTTAATTTTAGTAATATATATAAATGTTCCTCCTACAAATCTCTATTCCTTTTTCCTTCATTTTGTGGTATTATTATTATATGTATTACATCTATTAATGTTGCAAACCCAACAACACATTCTTATAATTATTACTTTATCATCTGTCATTTCCTTAGCCCATTATAGGTTTGCTCTCACCCATATCCTTTATGCTGTTATTGTCAAATATATTGAACATATGTTTTTACATATTATAGACACCATAGTACATAATATGTATATTATTTTATACAATTGTGCTTTTTAAAATTTAACCCTGCCTATGGTTTAATCTATTTGGTCTGCGGGTTTTGCCTCAAAAAAGAAGATCAAGTCATACCATGAAAAGAAAGAAGTTGTAAAGGATCCACACAATTTAACCCAACAAATATTTGTTGTGTGCTTAAGTGCACAAGGCATTATCCTTGGGAATTCTGTCCAACATGCTGAAAATGGGTAGAATTGGACCAGAAGGTACCCTTGATATTAGTGATGGTATTGAACTATACGGATTTTTTTCCTTTCTCAATGTTTTATGGAATTTCTAAAAGAGCTCTTTGTCAACAGAAGGTATAAGAAGACCAAGCTTAGAGTGAGCTTTACCCTTCCACTTGGAGATTTGGCTGAAACCATCAATACTGAGACATCTAGAGGAGGCTAGGACTGGATGCCTCTAAGAAGGCTTTATAGCATGATTTTGATCTAGTTATTGAATACGTTGATTATATTTTTGTGGTAAGGTTTACATTTTAAAAGTACAATGTTAGAGGAAGTAGATAAATCAGATAATATCTGATGTTGAAGCTAAGGAGTTTAAGACCAAATTAACTGGAAGAACTACTTAGTCAATATTTTCTATTTTTTTTTTTCCTGAGGAAGATTTGCTCTGAGCTAACATGCATGCCAATCTTCCTCTCTTTTTTAGTATGTGGGCCACTAGCACAGCATGGCCGCTGAGATTAAATCATCCCTTGGCCTCAATTTATACTTGTCTTCTTAAAGAATTATCTGTTTGCAGCAGAGTTACCTTCTCAATATTGGTTTGACTAGCTTATTATTAGAATTAAACCCACGTTCCCTCAACATACTGAGTTGAAGGAGGTGGCCCCAACGCATGGTGAGTGGCAGGGCCAAAATATCTGGGGACTGAAAAATGCCTCAGATGATGAGTGTTGACTTTCTACAATAGGAAATGGCACACCTTTTCATTCCTCCAGGCAAAACAGTGTAGTAGAGAAACCAAGATTTAGCTACATGTTGAGTTTGCTATGTACACTGCTAAGGGCAAAGGTAAACACATTTGTGAATACTATTCTGTTTCTCTCTCTGTTACCAGAGTAAGTTTTCCAGCTACCTCATGGAGGTAAAAGACACAAAGATGCCATGTCATGATGAAGAAGTGAAAGAAATAACTGGTCTAGTGTATGAGGAGAGTTCTTTGAGAGTCCAGCACTGAACTATCTAGTAGAGTAGCCACTAACCACATGTGGCTACGGAAACCTTGAAACACAAGGCAAGGTGACTGCACAATTGAGTTTTAAATTTTATTTAATTTTAAAAAAATTGATATTCACTTCAGCTGTTGAAAAACTTAAGTTTGTTTTGAACAACTTCAAACATGAATCCACTTTTTTAACTATAAATTTTATGAAATCTAAATACAGATTTCCTATGAAAATTCAGTATCAAATTGAGTTGTGTTATAAGTGTAAAATACATGTCACATTTTAAAGATTTAAAATAAAAAATTGAATATAAATATTTGTTAATAATTTTGTGGTTTCATGTTGAAATCATAATATTTTAGACAGATTAAGTTAAATAATATACATTATTAAAATTAACACTTTTTTTTTTAGCTCTCAAATGTGACTACTAAAAAAAGTTAACATACATACGCAACTTGTATTATATTTCCACTACACAGTGCTGGTCTAGAAAGAGAGTTGCCATATTGTCCCTGTAGGACATTGTTTTTTGAATAGTTATTAAGATTGTCTTCTACACATATGCATAGATATGTAATAGTAGAAAGCACATAATATTAGACAAGCATAGCAAAAAAATCCATTCTTTTTAAAACAGTTGTTTTTTAAATCAATCAAGGGAAGAATTGAGAAAACGTATGCTTTTATAGTGTCGTTTATAATCACTTAATCACTTTCAGCAGTCCTCTTTGTTTGTGTGGATTCAAATTACCGTCTCTTGTCGTTGCTTTGACCAGAAGAACTTCCTTTAGTATCTCTTGCAAAGCAGGTCTTCTAGCAACAAATTATCTCAGTTCTTGTTTATCTGGGAAAGTCTTTATTTTTCCTTCATGTTTGAATGATAGCTTTCCTGGACACAGGATTCTTTGTTGACGGGTTTTTTTTTCTTTGAGTACTTTGAGGAATCTGTTTAAAGCTTGTTTCTCCCCACAGGCAAAATATCTCAGCCAGGGTCCAGAAACTGGGTATGAGGACAATGGCAAGTTTCTCTTCGAGTGACACCCGCACTCAAAGGAGGGGGCTGAGCACTTGGTAGAGGGAGTGGTCAACAGCTTGAAGTTTTCTTAGCTTGCCTCTGCTAGCATGGATTTACCACCTCATTAGCTGAGGAAAGGGCTATTGGGACTCGGTATTTCCAGCATGCCACACTTGAAGTAGAGCCTCCACTCCACAAGTGGGGCTTGGGGAGAAGATGGGACCTCCCACCTCTAGACTCTACTCATTTGGGACCTAGCCTCGGCAACAGATAGCTGGAGACGTGGTGAGCAATGCTAAAGTCATGGTTCTCCCAGGAAAAAAAGCCCTCTGGCTTGAATCTGGGGAGAGACAGCCCTGTGTTCTGGGCTGCAGCAGTCTCGAGTGGAGAGTCTCTGCCTTGCTGAACTGGAAGTGGGGAGGGATAGAATCTTTCTCAAACCACAGATTCTCACCTTTCTTACTAAATTTTTATAGATTTTCTTGAATAGATGTTTCATCATTTGCTGTATGCTTGTAGCCTCTGACCCAGAGGCTTTAAATGGTTCTTTATACACATATATATAATGTATATATTTTTTATCATATATTTTCAATTTTCATCGGTTTCTCTGGAGGATAGGTCAGCAGAGTTCCTCACACTGTCATACTGGAAGTCAATCTCCTTATATAACATATTTGAAATGAAAAAAATCATAGAAATGAAGAACAGGTTAGTGGTTGCCGGGGGTAAAGGTGAGGTTTGGGGGTGGGTGTGGGAGGTGGGAGGGAAGTAGATGTGTCTAGAACAGGGCAACATGAGGGATCTTTGTGGCAACATTCTTTATCTTGACTGTGTTGATGTCAATATCCTAGTTGTGATATTATACTACAGTTTTTTAAGTCATTACCCTCTGGGCCAACTGTGTAAAGGGCACAGGAGATCTCTCTGTATTGTTTGTTACAACTTCATGTGGATCTACAATTATGCAAAATAACAAGCTTAATTAATAGAATGTATTCCCCACTATAGCAATAAACAATGGCAGATAAAATCGTGGAGCATGGGGCTGGCCCCGTGGCCGAGTGGTTAAGTTTGCGCGCTCCACTCCAGGCAGCCCAGTGTTTCGTTGGTTCAAATCCTGGGCACGGACATGGCACAGCTCATTGAGCCACAGTGAGGCAGCATCCCACATGCCACAACCAGAAGGACCCACAACGAAGAATATACAACTATGTACTGGGGGGCTTTGGGGAGAAAAAGGAATAAAATAAAAAATCTTAAAAAAAAAAATCATGGAGCATGTTTTCATGAATAATTATTTCAGCCTTAAAGTGAATATTTATAGAAATATAATAAAGAAGAGGAGCTACTTAAAATACAGTGTTACACAAACATGCAAGATAAAAAATTCTATATCATAAACTCACTTTTATAAAAATTAGAGATGTATATATTTTGGAAAAAAGACTGAAATATACATTGAAATGATTACAATGATTATCTCATGATAGAACAGAAACAGATTAATTTGTCTTAATTAATTATATAGACTTTCAATCTTCTTCATGGAACAAGTGTTATTTTATAATAGGAAAAGTAATGTGTTAATATTTAATTTTTTAAAACAAATAAATAACAACATACCGTACTTGTATGGACTTGGGCTTTGGAAGTCCTGGAACTCTTCTAGCATCCAGCAACCTCACTGAGAGGTGGATCAGAATCAGCAACAGTGACTCAGTGTTGTGGTCAATATACTCTGTTGTACATGGTAGATTATTAAAGAAAGCATTGACCAGTTCCGTACATTCTTTGCACGTATGTGGAGGTTTCATTCTGGGCCAACTTTTAGACCCAAAGTAGAACTCTATTATGACTATTGATGTTTTCTTTCCAATACTGAAGATGGCAGATCACTTAGTCATTTCTATCCTTCCTTGACAGGTATTTCTATATGCTAGGGATATCTATAGCTTACGTCAGGAAGTCCTACTTAAGGATATTCCTGTCTGCATAACATACAATCTGCTGGCTCATATACAAACCAAGGATTTACACTTTTTCATCATTGCCTAGGAATTGGTGTGCCTAGACTAGTATGAGGTTGCCCGTTTGTCTCAGAAAAACAACCTATGCCAGGTTTACAGAGAAGTATTGACATGATGTTGCCAAGAGGGTAACTAATATTTCTAACTCCATAGTCAGTTAATCATGGAATGGACTGGAAAGTTAGTGAATACATAATGACAAAAATTAAGGTATAATGATTTTTTTTTTAATTTGGGAGACATATTTTTCACCCAAAGATTGAAGATCCCATTCAGTAATTCTACGTCAGGTGGCAAGGAGCACAGCAATGTACTGGCTAACGCCCAAATTATAGTGAGCACAGCTCTCCTCAGAAGAGTTTCAGCAAATAGTGTGCTTCTCTTACCTCTAAGGAAGGCTTGAAAAAGATCCACAAATGGGCTAATATTTTTATTAGTTAATATTGTTTGGCCATGTTGGGGAATTATTTTCCTCTGAATTAATCAAAAAATGTACCCTTATTTTTTGTGGAAGTCAGGTTTTGGGCCATTCCCTTTCTCCTTTCTGTAATTATTTTAGTTACTGAAATGATCAATGACAGTGGGATAAAAAATTAAATGTTGTTAATATTTATCATGTTCCAGGATCCAGTTAGGTATTGACATGGGAAATAATATAATTCAACCCTTTAATTTTAGTGATGAAGAAATAGAAGCTCAAAAGAGTAAATCATTGGACCAAGGTATAGATCAGGTGCAGAATTCTGATCTCATGGCAGTGAACACAGCGCTTTTTTCATGCTACAGTGTATATTCTAACTGAGCTTCAGAGTAACTCTGAGTAAGTGAGATATTGCTTTATATTAGAGGGATATTGGAAAAGGAAATAGTAAGTTGAGGTGTGTGAAATTCATAGAATGAAGGTTCACTCAACTTTTATTCCAGATTCTCTTAGTATCCTGCTCATTCATTAATAATTAACCAGATGTTATTGAGTACTAAGAATTATTCTAGGTGCTGAAGATTCAGCAGTTAACAAAAATGCAAGTCTGTTGTGATGGTTAATAGAGAGATAACACATCTGGAAGTGCTGTTCCACTAGGGCAAAATAAGAACGGGATATTTTGACTTTCCCTCAAACTGTCCTATGACAAAGAGCAGGTGGGATTATGGACTTTTTCACGATTTCCATCTCGCCCACCACAGGTACTCATTCATCACCAGCAGGGAGAGTTCAGCGTCATAGCCATTTCCTTCTCTTTTTCAAACTGAGCAGGGACTTCCCACAGATGCACGGAAAACATCAGGTACCCTTCCCTCTCCAAGCCAACACAAAATGCTTAGATCCTCAATCTCCACTCTTTATCACAACTAGAAAATGTAGTTTCTTGGGTCTCCACGTGGTATATTATTTCTTTCCAAGAAACTAGGCTGTCAGCTGTTCCTCTCACCACATTATCAGTCACCCTGCCCCGTCTCCACCTTCCCCCCAAGACTTGGGGTCAGATCAGACCTTCTTAGTAGATACATCTACTGGAGACAAGTGATGCTGCTTCACTTTCCATCCCTATTGGTTGAAGAGAAAGGTGGAGGAAGGGATGGGGATTTCCAGGAATGCTTTTCTTGCTTAAATGCCTCAGGGCAAAAAGATGAGATGCCTTCCCAAAAAAGGAATTAACCCGAACCTGAATTAACCGATGAGGTAGATTTTGGATTTGAGGGCTGAGCCTGTAGATGCTGCCTGTGAAAAGAGAGAAGATACGTTCTTTCTAAAAGGACTCATCTTTCCCTGTTCAATAAATGCTATTTCCTAACACAATTACGAGAATATTAGTGTTCAGTAAATTCAAACTTGTATTCAAATTTATATAAATCCAAATTTATATTCCCCAAAGAGAATATTTTTTTCTTTTTGAAGTCAGAACATAATTTCTATATTCTTACTATAACTTCCAAAAATGGTATAAAATGTTATTTGCAAAGTTGTTATAAAGATTAAATGAGATAATTGAAAAATGCCTCATCAGGGCCTAGAACTCTTGATTTCATTTTCCAACATAGTCCCTGCACTTTCTTATGATAACCAGCAGGTGGAGAGAGAGTTCTTAATCTCTCTTGTCTCTCCTCTCAATCTTCTCTCCACCACAGAGATTGATTTTCTACCAGTAATAAGATACTAGCATCATAACAATTTCATTTCCATTTAATCTTGGCCAGGAGCTTTCCAATGATGCTTGAAAAGAAGCAAGTATCCTGATTATAGCACTCTAAACTCATGTAAATCATTCTTGAAAATCCAAAGGAGAAATTTCTCAGCAATCCACATAGCCATGTCCTGTTTCTTCCCATGAACTCTAGGTGTTAAACCTTCCTCTCGCCATATAGCTTATAACCTGCCCCTATTCAACTTTCTCACAGGATCTTGAAACCAGACTAATGCTAGGATCATTGCAGTAGCATTATTTGGTGGAGACAAGTGATGTGACTTCACCAATTGATTGGATAGGAAGGACATTAATAAGTAATGAGAATTTTCATAAAGTACCTTTGTCCAGCAAATTGGCCTGCTTTATCCTAAAAGAAAGAGTCTAAGGCACAGGATAGAAAAGTAACCTTGGAGTTTGGAGGACTGACTCTTTGGATGCTGTACCTGAAAGAAGAAAAGAGACAGTTCCTAAAAGCTCTACATTTTCTTTCCCTGTTTATCCAATAGTAGTCCCTTACTCAAGTTTGTGATGACACAAAGTATTCCATAATATCAGCCCTCTAGTCTCACTGTCACCTCCCTCGTCTTGATGCTCTACCTATATGGCACCTGGGTTACCACAGTTCATTTTGCCACTCTACATTTGTACATTTCAGCTCCTCACCTTCCTAAAGAAGGAACTGGTCTGCCCAGCTTCCCAGGCCTTTCATACAACAGGTCCTCTCTGCATACCTACTCTTATGCCACACTGTTCTTTAATCTGGATGCTCATTCCAGTCAATCAGGGCTTCTCAAACTAATACACTCCTGCCCCGCACTACGTCCAACCCCTCCTCAGTACTGCTCTCGGTCACATGGCTCGTGATTGTTCCTTTCCCCTGCTGTTCTTCTGAATCATATCCTCTTCCTCCTCTGCTTCAAGTCTCACTTCTGCAAAAGAACTACATTTTCACATTTCATTTAAATACTCCAACCTATAGGATATGCCCATTTTCTACTATTTTTAAATCTTGTTACTTTTAAATGATACCCATTTGTATTTTCATTGTAATTTATAATGCCTATATTTATCCTTAATATATTGTTTATCAATTCAACAACTATTAATGATTACCTACTCTGAACCAGGTGTTTCTCTAGGGACTGAGGAGAGAATGGTGCACTAAGAACATAAAGTCTCTTCTGTTATATGCTTTATGGATGTTTCTTTCCTGGTAGATATTGATCTTCCTGAGATCTTTGTCTTGGTATTCCTAGCCCCTAGCACACCCTTTTCCACATAGGAAGTGCTCAATAAGTGTTTGCTCCTTGAGTTTCACAGTTATACTCCATGCTTCTATAGTCCACATACCACTTAACATAATGCTTGACATTTTTAGGTGATTAGGTAAAATTTTCTGTTTCATTGATATTATTTCATGCAGAGAAAATTAAGATGGATGCTAGGGAAAAGATTGCTTTTCTGACTTTGGAAGTGATGATTAGGGAGGTAATCTCTGCTGTGCCACTCTCCCCTCCCCTCTGCGTCTGCACACTTCCGTTCATCACCTTCCTAAAGGTCACCTTGTTTCCCAGATTTAACTGTCCCTTTCCCTTCAGTTACTTCCAAAGTTCTGAGGGTGTATGTGCTCCTCTGTCATTATTATTTCTCTTTTTCCTGACCACAAACACTGGAGCCAACCTCGTGAGCAGCTTCTAGCATGTGTAATATGCTCGTTGAAGGCCTTTTTTAGGAGTTTTCCTAGTACATCTATGACACTCATCAGTTGTGCCCAATAATTTCTTACTGTCCCTATTTAAGCGTTATACTTGTGACTACCAGTTAATCTTTTTTTTGTGACTAGTGAACTTTGTATCCTATTTTAAAAATCTTTTTCTACCTCATGGTCATGAAGTTTCGCTACTATTATCTTCTGAAGGTTTTATTGCATTGTTTTTTACATGTTGAAATAAATTCAACTGGAATTAATTTTGTGTATTGTGTGAGATGGGTGTCAGATTTCTTTTTTCAATAAGGACATCCAACTTATAGAGCTGCATTTATTGACAAGACCATCCTTTCCTGGCTGCTCAGTTGAAAACAAGTAAGGCACAAAAGCGAGAATACTGTCTGCTTCAATTTCTCTAATGCCACTAGACATGTTTAGAAAGAAATATCAGGTTGGGAAAGTGCAGTGAACAGCAAGTCTGGATGGCAAGTTATCTTGGTGGGAAGTGAGACAAGTGTGGATAGGAAGAGGCACATTATGGGTTTACAAGGTATTGGCCAAATATTCTGTTTCTTGATCTCAGAGTTAGTTCTGTGGATGTTGGCATTAAAATAATCTAATAAGTTGTAGAATTATGCTTTATGTGATTTTTATATGTGTATTCTATTTCACTATAAAATGTTAAAAGTGTAAAATATTTAATTTCCAGATCAGATCCTAGTAGTCAATGTTTACTGAGTTATACTAAGTGATCAGCATTCTTCAACCGGCTGGGGATGCCACAGTTAACTGAAAATATAGTGTGATACAATTTAGCCGTTGCAAAGGTTATGATGAAAATTAATGAAATAAAGTATCTGAAAGTACATAACTCATGCCTGGTAGAAAATAAGTGATAATTTGTTATCGGATTCCCCCTTCCTTTGTCTGTGCAGTCAGAGTTGGGATAGTAGATCTCTCTCAGAGCCCCCATCTCTTCTATGACAGGAATAGCAGGGAGATACCAGCATCACAGCTTTTTATTTGTACTTTTTAATCATGGCCTGGGGATTCCCACAAAGGCATGAAAAACTAGGCATCATGTCTCTATCATTCTAAATGCCCAGCTCCTCCAATCCTCACTCCACATTTTACTTTACTCTGCAAACGCTCTTTCCTGGCTAACCACCTAATCATGCCCTAATTCATTCCACTAAAGGAAATTTTCCACCTTTCTTATCACATCTAACTTTGTCATCTTGTCCTCCCCCGACTCCTACCCAAGACCTTAAATAAGACTTCTTGTCAGATGTATCTGCTAGAGATAAGTGATGCTGCCTCACTCTTTATCCCCATTGGTTATCAAAAAAAACCAAAAAGACAAAAACCAGTCATCTGAGAAAGGATGGGGATTTCCAACAAATCTCTCTGTCTTCTCCAAAGTGTCTCATTCAGAGGCCAACACCTGTACCAATATGAGAACTGATCCTTTGGGTGTTATCTCCAAAAGGAAAGAAAATATATTACCTTTGAAAGACCTCATGTTCCTTCCTTATTCAGCAAATACCAGTATTTAATGCATGTCTGGCCATGCCAAAAATGCACAGTATTCCTATAGTCCATTTCTATAGGTCTATGCTGATTGTTATCACAGTAATCTCTATGCCCAATCTCCCACAACTAACCTTATATTGCTAAAGATCTTCCTAGTTAATATTTTTTCTGCTCCAATTCCCATCTTTCTAAAAGATATAACTTCTTTGCCAATTTTTCAGTACCTTTCCTAGCATAGTTCGACTCTGCACATCTACTCTGATCTCCCAGCATGACTTAAGGAGGAATTTCAATTCCTGTAAAACAAAACTCCTCACTACCCACCACCCCCTCCCCTGCACGCGTGTTTTTCACTGTGGTTCCTGGTCCCCAGATAGTCTCTGGGGACTGAAACATAACCTGTTCCTCTATGTTCTAAGTCTCACTTCCTCTAGAACTCACATCTATACAAATACTTCCTTTGTGCTGTAAATTACAAGATTTTACTTAAATTTAACCATTTCATTTCATCTTGAAAATTAATGTCACCAATTGGTTTTGATTGTTTTTTATAGATGCGTCTATTGTACATCTTGTCATGCTATTTTATATTAATTTTATTTGTCTCTCTTTACCGAGGGTTCTAGTTTTCTTAAAAGTAGAGTCTAAATCATATATATCTTTATATTTCCAGCATCAGAAGAATTCTGCACAGATAGGAAGCACTCAACAAACTTTTTGTGAATTCAGTATCCCCAGCCAGATTGTATATGTATGTGCATATGAGATGGGTTCTCAGCTAAAATTTACAGAATGGTGAACGGTTAATATCATTTCGGCAGAAAGATATGAAGGATAGATATCAAGAATATTTTTCTGACTGTGAGAATATTAGATTTTGAAATATGTGAAAGAGGGACAATCTCTTCCACAAAATTGTCTTTTCACCAAATTACTGCTTACTGCTGCCACCCTGTGTGGCTCCAGTGTGGCTCCAACAATTTCTTCTATGTAGAAATAAATAACTATTTCTTCTTAGAAAATGGGAGGATGAATTGACTAGCAACCCAATGGTTAACTGTTCCCAGGATCATGTCCCAGATAGTACCCAATGCTCTTGATTTCACAGTTCAATTATCAATCACAAAAGATTTTCTGGATGCTGCCGTTTGGGTCTTCCGGATGTCCTTTATTTCTACTTTCCCGACTCCTCAACATATCCACAAAAAATCTTGTCAAAACTGGATCTTGATATTACATAGAATTATCTATTTCAGACCCTGTTGAAATTCATCTCTCATTTCCTCATTCCTCCATTCCAAATGCTAGTGAAAAGAAGCTAGCATTAGTCGTGTGTTTATTTTGACGCCCTGGTCAAGAGCTTTCCTAAAATATCCTGTGAAAACCAGTAACTTGTTCCAATATTTTCTCATTATTCAGTATCCCTATTCAGTGTTGCTACTGAGATATTACTTCGTTTTTTTGACCAGACTTCAGCAACCCTGATCCAGAGCACATCTTGATTCATTTCCATATCTTATTGTCCTTTCATGATTCACGTGCTACTTCCCATGAACCATGCTTTTTGCCACAGAACACAATGCTAAGCTTTTTCCCCAGGTCCCACTCCTTCTCTACAATATTTGCACTCAAAGAAATGTTTCCCCTCCTTTTTCTGCACTTGCCTTATTTATCTGCTCCAATATGCACAAAAGTATCTCCAGTTCTCTAGACCTTTTATTTAAAAAGAAAATGCTGTTTTCCTCTTTATGTATTTATGTTGTTACGAATTTATGTATTTATGTATATTTATTTGTTTATACATACTTGGGAATAAATGTCAGGTTGGTGCAGCTCTTCAACCCCCACCTTTCTATTTGATGACAACCTGAATTTGGGTGGGGATGGTGGGATGGTGATGATGGATACAGCTAGTGAAAAGATACATATCCAGCAAACACTTAATTTTGACAGCCTAGCCTCCAATTCTGCTTTTGGTACACTTCTCACCTCGGCCATACCTCTAGAAGTTATTTGAGAGTTTATCTTCATCCTCTCATACGCCTGGGAGTTACCTTCTACCCCTTGCTTTTTAATAGCTTGAAATTTTCATCAATGATGGGCCCTGCAGTCATCTTCCCCACAACCACACCACAGATAATAATGTTTCTTTATATGACTTAATTAAATTGCCTTTTAAATGGATGCTTGGTATTAAAATTAAACTTTAGGAGACAAAAAAGAGTCCAGTATATGATCCCAGGGCAACATCTTGAACAAGAATATTTAAAAAATTTTAGACATTTGTTGACCAAGTGACTCCCAGAAGGAATGCCAGAGAGTTCATGTTTTGATTTCCTTGTTTTTTTGCTTAATAAAGTAGTAGAATTTCTTCATATAATTTAGAATATTTCCTATTATAGTGTTATTTGGATATAGTTTACATTAAAATTATCGAATTTTTTTCATAATTCCATAATTTTTTTTCTTGTGATGAAAACTTTTAAGATTTACTCTTTTAGCAACTTTCAAATATATAAAATAGTATTATTAACTATATTCATCATGCTGTACATTGCATCTCCACGACTTATTTATTTTATAACTAGAAGTTTGTAACTTTTGACACTCTTCACCCATTTTGCCCACCTCCTTATTTCCTGCCTCTGGCAATCATTAATCTCTTCTCTATATCTATGAACTGTTTATTTTTTTTTAGATTCCGCATATAAGTGAGATCATACGGCATTTCTTTTTCTGTGTCTGATTTATTTCACTTAGCATAATGCCCTCAAGATCCATCCGTGTTGTTGCAAAAGGCAAGATTTCATTGTTTTTTATGGCTGAATAATATTCCATTGTGTTATATATATATATATATATATATATATATACATACCACATTTTCTTTATTTATCCAACTGTCAATGGATACTTAGGTTGTTTCCATATCTTGGCTATTGTAAATAATGTTGTAATGAACACAGGGGTGCATATATCTTTTTGAGTTAGTGTTTTCATTTACTTTGGATAAATACCCAGGAGTGGAATTGCTGGACCATATGGTAGTTCTATTTTTAACTTTTTGAGTAACCTCTGTTAGAATTATTGAATTTTTATTATTCTTGTCAAAAGGTTACTCTAGTATAAAGTTTAATGAGTTTCTGGTATTTTCTTACTCTTTTGTTCCAAGTATCTCATCAGCTAGAATTATTGGTGCAATACTCAACACTATTTGTAATAGTTTGCATACATTCTTGTTTCATGATTTTTTTTTCATTTTGTGAGGAAAATTGGCCCCGAGCTAACATCTGTTGCCTATCTTCTTTTTACTTGAGGAAGATTGTCTCTGAGCTAACATCTGTTCCAATATTCCTCTATTTTATGTGGGATGCTGTCTCAGTGTGGCTTGATGAGCAGTGCTATGCCTGCACTCGGGATCAGAACCTGTGAACTTCGGGCCGCTGAAGTGAGTATGCAACTTAACCACTACACCACTGGGCTGGCCTCTTCTTTCATGATTTTAAGGGGACTGAGTCTATGAATTCATATATCATATTATATCAGTTACTCATTAGACATAGAGAGAGGCAGACTGAGCCGACAGAGTTAAATGTGATTTGATGTTAGTACTTTTCATATTACAACAGTGATCTGCCAGAAGTGTGTCAGAGATTCCTGCATGTCACAAACATCTCCCAACATCTAATGGCTTTCTTGAACATTCTTAAGCCTATCAAGAATTTTATAACTCACTTAGTTTAACTCTTTCTCATGGTAGTGACTGTGTCTTTAACTAACAGAGAGGGCAACTACAGGCACCCTTAGAACACTATCCAGGCAAACACTCTGGTGAATTTCCCATATAGAGCACAACAAGCAGTTTGTTTCTGATGGTCTGAAGTCACATGGCTGTGAAACCATAATGAGGGGCTGGCCCCCAGGTCAAGTAGTTGAGTTTGCGCGCTCCAGTTTGGTGACCCAAGGTTTTGCCGGTTGGGAGCCTGGCGGTGGACCTAGCACCACTCTTCAAGCCATGCTGAGGCGGCATCCCACATGCCACAACTAGAAGGACCTACAACTAGAATATACAACTATGTACTGGGGGGCTTTGGGGAGAAGAAGAAGAAAAAGAAAGATCGGCAACAGATGTTAGCTCAGGTGCCAATCTTAAAAAGAAATCATAAAAAAAGACTAACTGTTGTAATTAACAGCAATAGCACTTAAGGAAATGTTTACAGTTAAAAGAATTTGGTTCTGACTTCTGTTGTTGAAGGAAAATAAAACAACTGCAACGTGTTTTGCCAAGATGGCAGAACCAATTGCCCATAGGACCAATTCTTGTTATGCTTTTGTGTTTTTCATAGCTTAGAAATTGTAAAAGTGAAAAGGATTGCTCACTTTTGGAGAAGTTTAAACTTCTTAATAGTCCTTATGTATCTTCTGCTGTAGTTATTAGAAAACATTTTTCCTCTGGTTAATAGCATAGTCATAGTTTAGATGATTTTCATTATTATTAATTGGCCCCTTTGTTCTTATTTTAACAACTAACAAGATTCCTCTGAAAACTTTTTCTTTAAGATCAGGTCTCAAATTCTGAACTATAGAGATTGACAGGGTATCTTTTGCACCCAGATCATCTTTAGCATCTCTAGATGGATGTGTAATAGCTCCAAGTTTTGCTCCTTTATCTTGTAACCTGTGGAATGAACATATGACCAAAATAGGGATGCAGCAATAATTAGCGAGTGTCGTATGCTCCAGTGTTCTCAAAACCTCTCTACAGTATTGAAAGAGCTGGTTTTTTTGACAGGCACACCATGTGGGACGAGATGTCAAGACAAAGCGAATAGCTCATTCTTCCCCTCGGGGAGAATACTTACTAGTAAGTTTAGTTTTTCAGAGTAGAAACTTGTTTATCTACAAGGATGAAATTTGGCTTGGCTTCCCCAGATTATCACATGTCACCAATAGTCAATTCTGAGTAAATTATGACTTTCTGTTTGTCCAATTAAATGTGATATTCTCCTGGTTGCATTTGCACAACTTCCAACAGTACTGGATTCTCTCTGGGGTCCAGGGACATAGTTTCTTCTCAAATCCAGGAAGAATAGTGACTCCTACTCAACTTCTCCAAGAAATTTTGAACTTTCACATTAACAGAAATATATTTTTCTGCAGTAAATGATATACTATTTCTATTCTATTCTGAAATGTTCAAAGTTGCACTACATTTTGCTCAGAAATCTGAAATAATGATTAAGAATAATACATTGGATTTAGGAATTTGGAGGCCACTGTTATCTTTAATAAGAAGGAGACTCGTATGGGAGCTATGGGTGTCATTACACAAGATAAATGAAGATTTTGTCATTTCCAGAGGAGAGTAACAATGGTAATGAGGGGAATCTTTTGAAGGAACTAGAATTGCTACATAATAGCTGTCTCGATTTATATAAAATGCTGTCATTCATCAAAAGGAGTAGTCTTTTTTTTTTTTTAACAGGAGAAAATCCAGCAGTTTAATAACATGTATACATGAGAGAAACGGAGGAAAACTGAGTAACCTACCTGAATGGCTGAAGCTGCCACCTTAAACACCATCTTCAGCTAAAGACAACAGAGGATGTTGGGGGTAGTGGTTTGGGGTCTCGATTTATATAAAATGCTGTCATTCATCAAAAGGAGTAGTCTTTTGATACATGTATCCATGAATTAAAGTGATAAAAATAATTTTTATATAAGGGACACTCTTCTCTTCAGAAATTGAATGTGAGGCAGTATGAAATAACAGTTGAGCTTGTAGAGTTGGAATCACATATAATTTGGCTCCATCTGGAGTGTACCATTTACTAGCCTTGCATCCTTGCAAAAGTTGTTTAACCTCCTCCATTGTATTCTTTCCATCTGCAGGGATGGAAGGGTACTTAAATCTCTGCGATGACGTGAGAATTACATAAAAATACAATGCATAAAAAGCCCTTGTATAATTCTGGATACTAACTAAAATGCTCAAAAATTGCTCAAGTTATAGCTATTTTTATTCAGCATGGTGAGCATTCTGTCACTAGAAATGTTAAGGGACATAAAGAACAACTGCTTATCAGAACTATGGTGGAGTGAGAATTAATGCAGAACTTTAGGTACAGAGTTGTCCGTTAAAGTCCACTCAGAACCTGAGATTACATCTATATTAATATAATGTGCAAAAATCATCTAAAAGTAGAATTACAGGTTTGAAATTATATAGGTTTAAAATCAAAGGATGTAATTCACAGTTTTTCCATAGTGTTGTATTTCCTGAACACTGTATAATGTATTCATTAGAAAAGTCTTCTTATATCTTTCCTTGGGCTAGAGCAAGAGAAGGTGAATAATAAAGAGACACATTGCCAAGAAAATGAGGAAATCGTAAGGGGGACGAGGAGTAAGAAACTGAGCACATTTTCACATAAAATATTAATTATTCTAAAGCAGAATTGTTGTGCAAGTGGCTGACTTTGAGTCCTTTATGAATCTCTCAGTCTCCTGCGTACTTTGATTTGGACAGTGGGCCTCATCACATTATTAGGTGAGGTGTCATACAAAGGTACTTTCAAGACCCTCCTTCTACATAGGTCACCTTCTCTAATTCCCTTTCTCTATGTGTATCCTGGAGGTGCCATTAAACTCAATGACAGCATCAGGAGACAACCTTGAAAAACCTTTTCACTTCAGTGTAGTTACTGACTAACTTTCAATTTCCTTTAGTTTATCAGGGCATGACTATCTTTAAGGAGGTACATCATATTCTCCAATCAACAGCAATAACTTTGTCATATCATCAGTTACCAAGGGATACTGCTTCTTGAACTGTCCACAGAATCACACATTTCCAATATTGAAATACCTGAAAGATCACAGTGCCTTCATTTCAACTGTGAGAAATTAAGTAATTTGCTCAAATCGACAACACTAGGTTATGGTGTGATAAGGACCAGATTAAAGGTCTCCTAACTTGCAATCATCTTCCCTCCACCCCCTCAACTCCTAGACACACAAATGTATATTTGTCAAAGCAGTTCTGTCTTCAAGTAAGAGAGATGAATGCCCCTAAAAGGCTCAGACTTATGTATATATCACTGACCTGCACAGAGCTGGCTTGAAATAGGAGCCCAATTAAAAATTTTCAGATACAACTGGATCAAACTTTCAAAGCACCAAACTAAAACATTCCTTCTAATTAAGGAAATCTAAGTTTCAGAAGACGACCTTCAAACTGAATCTCTGACAAGCAACTGATGATGCTATTCATCTCTGATGCTGATTGGTTCTCAACGCTGTGATTACCCAATCCAGGAACAAAGAAATGAGTTCCCTAGTTGGTATTATTTGGGATGTGGGTGGAGGAGGGTCATAGTCCTCATTGAGTGAGACTTGCCTGCTCCCTTGCACCCTGTCTCTCCTGTTCTCCAGCATGGTGTGTCTGTGGTTCCCCGGAGGCTCCTGGATGGCAGCTCTGACAGCGATACTGATGGTGTTGAGCCCTCCACTCGCTTGGGCCAAGAACACCCGACGTAAGTGCACACCTTGGGTGGTGAGCTATTGTGGGGTGGGGGGAGGAAGGGAGTTAACCTTCTCACTGTCTCCAGGCCATGTCCCTTAAAAGTTGTGACATTTTCTTCAGTGACCACCTATCTTTATCATATGGATCTCTGACTCCACAACAAAAGGAGCCTGGACGCTTGGGCTCTTTACAAGAGCTGCTTGAGGAGCCTCCATATATATAGGTCATTTCTTCTCATCTCTCCTCTAATAAGATCTCTCCAGCCTTGCATCCCATTCCCTCAGGATTTTGTGAAGAGTTAGAAATAACGATGTCAAGATAATTCCTTATTCAGTAGTTTCCTTTATCATGTTGATTTATGCCAGAAAAAAGGGAAGATTGCTCTGAAAATCTTATGGGGTATCAAAAGGAATTAGAAAGATGTCTCCTAGAAGATCCCGTGTTATGTCTTAAACAGGATCTGTGACATTGGCTTCTCTCCCTATGTGAGCATGTATCAAGAGTCTCCCCCATTACCTCCTTTCCTTTCTCCCTGAACCCCAATGTATACAAGGCCTGTGTCCCTGTCCTGGAGGGTCTCAGACAGAAGTTGGGGTTAGTGCTCTCTATTTCTCCCATGGAAAGCACCATGGAGCTGAAGCAGGGATCCTTAGAACTTAGAATGACTCTATAGTAAGGAGCATCTATGAGCTGTTCTTTGATGCCTTAATGGACTCAAGGCATCTTCTGAAAAGCTGGCACAGGTTAGTGTTCATTATGAATCAATTTTGAACCTTTTTATACTATCAGTTTCTCATACCTCTCCCCTTTCTCTGGTCAGAGCCCACAAGAAGGGATTCAACTAGTATAGGGTAAGTTATATGAAATTCTGATTTTGTAAGTCAAAAATAGTCAAATATGAGCAATTTCATATGGCTCAAAGTATACGACCTGAGCAGAGTATAAACAGTGTTTACCTCTCATTGGGCTAGAAGCAAATAAGCAAGTCAAGGGAACTCATGGGTCTACTGAGGTCTTGATCCCAAATGTCATAGGTTCATTCATCACACCCTCTGTTTTCCTTAATTAACCATGTTTGGTTACCTCCACTTCCAGTTCTTCCCTATTCTTTCTCCAGCTATGTCATTATTGAAAATCCCCAAAGTTCGCACAGACCCTCAGCACTATAACAGATCCATTGGATGAGATGAAAAGGAATGAAATTTCCCCTCTTTCTTAAAATCACCTTTTCCTTACCTGTGAATGTTTCTTTTCAACTAGTAGGAGGAGAAAGAGGAAGTTTGTCAGAATTTCTCACAGGAAACTAAAGGGATATAAGGTGTCATCAGAATAAAAGAGTGTTGGAGCTTGAGCCCTTTCTTGCTTTCCAGGATCCCCACAGTGATCAATTCCCAGGACCCCAGGTTTATTCATTTAGACACAAATATTTTTCTGAGAAATTATTATATACTGGGCTCTCTTCTAGGCTTAGAGAATTCTATTGAATAAGATAGAAAAGTCCCCTACTGTCATGGTACTTACCTAATGACAGAAGGAAAAAGCCTGATAAATACTTAACAAAGAAAAAATTTCAGGGAGCAATAAGTGCTCTGAAAAAAATACATCAGAGTTATGGAACAGAGAGAATTGGAGCCATTTGACTTCAGTTCAGGTGGCTGGAGAGCTCTCCCTGAGAAAGTGACATTTAGTTGAGACATAAATGATGAGAAGAAGCCAGTCATGTGAAGGATCCAAGGGACAAGAGTTCCAGGGAGAGGGAACAGGGGAAAAAGACTGAAGTGTGGGAAGATGTTTGCTGTGTTCAAGGGACAGAAAGAAAGCAAGAGTGGGTGAAGCATAGCGAGCAAGGGGGGTGTGCTCTCAGTGTCACACTACCATTTTTGTATCACTCAGGGAATGTCCAAAAGGGACCTCATTGTCAGTGCTCAATATTTTTTTGACGTCAGCATCCTCTGACTTATTTAGACTTTTGTCTGATGAGCTTTTACATATATTGAAGTTTTATATGATTCTCTTCTCATTAATGACATGATAGTTTTCAAAATCTCCATCTACTAGCTCATTTGCAAACATGAATACAACCCAAAACCTCACCAAACATTTGTTAAGGTTGATTTATTAATATTAGCTTCATAATAAGCACTAGCAATTGACTTCTTTCAGAAAACCACGGATTTGCAGGCCTCTGTAAACTGCAGCAAGAATAGAGTTTAAAAATTGTTTCTACTTGCTCTTCCTGGGACAAAAATTCCTTGGTCATAGGTTTCAACACAGGTGTCACACTGCAGGAAATTAAAAGCCAAAAGCTTTACTTTTTATAAGAAGTTCAGGAGTGCAACAGGTGGAGTAATTGTACAGAGACAATAACATTTTGCAGTTTTCTCGTAGTCCAGCCTGCCTGGAATGAATGTAAGCCACTGATACAAAGTAGTTATTGAACCAGGTAGAAAATACATACCTAGTTATCTATATTTTCTTTTTTGAAAAATATCATCCGAGTAAAATACTTACACCTTTCAGACATCCTGGATTTTGGATTTCTCCAATCACTGCCCACTTTGTTTTGGGTGAGCCTGAAGCATTAGCACACCTAAGAACAGTCATCTTTTGTTTAAAATTCATAACAGCTTCTAATACTCTTTTATTTATTTAGTTAGTTAGTTTTTTTGCAGGCAAAGATTGTCCCTAAGCCAGCATCTGTTGCCAATCTTCTTCCTTTTTTTCCCTCAAAGCCCCAGTTGTATATGGCTGTAAGTCCTTCTAGTTCTTCTGTGTGAGCTGCCACCACAGCATGGCCACTGACAGACAGTGGTGTGGTTCTATGCCCGGGAACTGAACCCAGGTCACTAAAGCAGAGCATGTTGAACTTTTCTTTTTTTTTGAAGATTAGCCCTGAGCTAACTACTGCCAATCCTCCTCTTTTTGCTGAGGAAGACTGGCCCTGAGTTAAGATCCATGCCCATCTTCCTCCAGTTTATATGTGGGATGCCTACCACAGTGTGGCTTGCCACGCAGCGCCATGTCCATGTCCCCACCTGGGATCCCTACTGGCAAACCGTGGGCCGCCGAGGTGGAATGTGCGCACTTAAACACTGCACTACTGGGCCAGCTCCAAGCATGTTGAACTTTAACCACTAAGTCATCAGGGCTGCCTCTTAATATGCTTTGTTTTTCTTTTTTTGAGGAAGATTAGTACTGAGCTAACATCCACCACCATTCCTTCTCTTTTTGCTAAGGAAGACTGGCCCTGAGCTAACATCCGTGCCCATCTTCCTCTCCTTTACATGTAGGTTGCCTGCCACAGCATGGTTTGACAAGCGGTGCATAGGTCTGCACCCAGGATACAAACCAGCAAACCCTGGGCCACCAAAGTGGAATGTGCTAACTTAACTGCTGCGCCGCCAGGCCAGATCCTCTTAATACTCTTTTATTAAGCACTATGAATGATTTTTAGAAATCTGTTCCCCATGCAGAGCTATTTTTCCAGCAAAATAAGTTTCTTCAGGACCAACATTTTTATGATATAATATTGGTAATTTTTTCAATGTAATTCTCAGCTGCTGTGTAATTAACAGCAGCTTTTTCACCATAGGTTTTTCAGATGGTATAATAGGCTCTCAGTCAAGGATGGTTCCCCCACCCTCCCCAGGGGACTTTCAGCAATGTCTGGAGCCAGTTTTGTTGTCACAACCTGAGTTTTCTTCTGACATCTAGTGGGCAGAGGCTAGGGATGCTGGTAGACATCCTACAATGTATGGAACAGCCTTCACACAACAAAGAATTCTCTTGTTCAAAATGTCAACAGTGCTGAGGTTGAAAACACTGGTTTGTACTGTGCTGCTTCTAAAAATTCTAGACTCACACTTTATACACACACTCATCTCCCAATTCAGTTACTAGTGGTTGGTTTTTGCTTGTTGGACTACCAAAAATATAGCAAGCTAGACAGTTGCATAAATTCTCCACTTTCTTGTTGAATCCATTCAATCAACACAAACTCAAGATCTTCATTTTATATTTTTTGCCTTATTCAATTTTTTCCAATATTTCATTGTCTTGGTCATCATGAGTTCTGTTAACTTTCAAAAACTTGCCTCTATAAGTCATAAGTTGTGAGTGCCACAAATATTTTTCAGTAAAATATATCAACCTTTTGCAGTAATCTATATTCTGTTCTATTGGTAATGTCAGATGTTCCCATTTATTTGTCTCACTTTTAACCACAGGGTTAACTTTTCTATCTCTTTTTGAAAAATTCTCAATTTAATTAAATATAAAGACAAAAAAATATACATACATACACACACATATTATGCATAAATATATATGTATACATATTACATATATATATGTTTATATATATTGAAACTACAGAAGCACATGTGACCAGCTAACAAATAAGAGCTGTGAGACACATCTGATCCTTTACCTCATCAGGTCAGATTTGCCAAAGGAGTTTGGCATCAAATTTTCTAAAAAGATCTGTTTTTCCAAGCTTTCTGGATTTGGATTTTCAGATAAGGAACCGTGGAACTCATATTAGGATCATAGTTTTAATCTCCTTAAAACTCTTCAGTAGTCTCCCATTACATTTGGTATAAATTCAAAATCCTAACATCACCTACAAGGCTTTTAAGTCCTCAGGTCCACTTGATTTCTCCAGTCTAGCCTTTTACTTCCTTCCTCTCACTTTCTCTCCTTCAGTGAACTGGTTTCTTCTGGTTTCTTGAGGAAATTCATCAATTCTTTCAAGCTTCTCCACGTGGTCTTACCTTTACCCGAAATGTGCCTCCCTTTTTTGCCCAAACACACACACACACACACACACACTCTTCTCTATTCCATATCAACTTAACCTTCTATGTCACATCTTAAATGTCACTCTCAGAGCCCACTTCTCTGGCAGCCTGAGGTGAGTGAGATATCCTGTTATTCTCTGTCCTAGAGCTCCACCCTTTTCTTCTGACATTTCTCACTCCTGTATAAAATCTTGTGTGGTTGGGTTTTGTCCATCATTTTCACTAAATTTTAAGCTTCAGGAGTGGAGGGAAGATGTCTGTTTTCCCCTTCTTGAGATTCCCAGGGGACAGCAGGGGCCTCAAACAAAATCAGCACTAATGAAGTGTTTGTAGAATGAAGGAGGTGGGACGTGTTTAAGATGGGTAACCAGCTGTGGGATAAGGGGAGGGAGCGGGGAGTGTCTCTCAGGTGGAGGTGTCTAGGAGGAGGTGGTGATGGGGACATTCCTAGTCCACATCCCGCTGGCAGGTCTGCAGACAGGCAGAGAAGCCCAGTGCATCCCGAATGGCTCCGGACCAGACAGGTCTCCTCCGCCTGCCCGGCCAGGCCTCCCTCCTCCGGGGGCAGATGAAAGATAATCCCGTAGGGTGCTGGTAGTTCGTGGTGCCAGTGGAGCCAGTCAGCGGTGTGCTAAGTGCCCCACCTGCTCCTGGGCGCTCCGCATTGGTGGGCGTCGCCGTCAGTCTCTTCTCAGGAGCCCGCCCCCGTGACCGGATCCTCCCTGTCCCCACAGCACATTTCCTGGAGGCTGTGAAGTTCGAGTGTCGTTTCTCCAACGGGACTGAGCGAGTGCGATTCCTGGAGAGACGCTTCCATAACGGGGAGGAGTACGCGCGCTTCGACAGCGACGTGGGGGAGTACCGGGCGGTGACCGAGCTGGGGCGGCCGGACGCCGAGTACTGGAACGGGCAGCAGGACATCCTGGATGAACGGCGGGCAGCGGTGGACACGTACTGCAGACACAACTACGGGGTTATTGATGGCTTCCTGGTGCGGCGGCGAGGTGAGCGCGGGGGAGGGGGGAAGTATGTGTGTGTGTGAGAGAGAGACAGAGAGACAGAGACAGAGAGACTCAGTCCCCGTGAGTGTAGGACTGTGAGCGAGTACAAGTTACAAGGGACCGTGTGAGAGCGGGCTGTGGAGAGGGTGTGTGGTTTGTCAGTGTGTGATTGTGGGGGGACAGAGTGTGTGGGTGAGGGGTGTACTGTGAGCTGAGGTGGGACAGAGAGAATGTGTGTGTGTGGTGGGAGGAGTGGGCCTGGGGTCTGAGAGGAGGGAGAGAGGGGGGCAGGTGTGAG